TAATTTATTTTTAGTATGATATTTACATTTGTTTTTAAGTCCAAACATAATATACTGGAGTATCTATGGCTTAGAAGAAGCGCTTCTTGATTAGTACCACATTTCCCCAGTAGGCAGAAGTAATTCCTTCTCTTTCTACCCTGACATGTATTGCTCCTGAAAGAAAAAAAAAAAAAAGAGCCCTGGACAAGAGCAGAGCCCCCAGAGGTGGGAGCTCCCCAGGATGTGATGCAGCACTGCTGTGCTCGGGTGATGTGGGGCAGCAGCTGTCACAGGTCTGTACCAGAAGTGCTGGAGATGCAGCAGCCCACAGCAGGCCCTGAAGTAGTCTCACCCTCAAGAGAATGGTAACAGCTGGCAAATCTGATTGCTATCCTAGGCCTGGACTTCTGAAACACAGGTTAAGCTGAGGGTCTTCATATCTTATACAACACCAGTTGGGGCTCCCCCCACCCAGAGCACACGGCAGCAAACACTGCCCTCCACCTCCAGCACTGCAGCCCCCCCAGTGTGCCCAGGTTTGTGGGGCACTGCTGCCCACAGCTGGAGCACTGGGAAGCAGCAGCATGGGCTGCTCAGTGCCAGGGGGTGTGAGCACACCCAGCACACCTGGGCAGACAGCACCCCGCACATCAGCTGTTCCCATGCTGTGCCTCATGGTGACTGGAAGAGACGATTCCAGATGTCAAACCCAACCTACAAAAAGTCCTCTTCCCTTCAGTCAACCGCTTCATGGTTACAAGCAGTGTCACAGCAGTTATTTCCCCTTTCCTACTGGTGCTGCCAGCACTGTGCTGCAGCACCAGTAGGTACACAAAGGGATGGGAAGGGGCTGAAAAACAAAACCTGAACATAAGGCTCCTGCAGCCACCCCGAGCAGCACAGTGAGCTCCCAAGGGCCCCAGCAAGCGTAGGGCAGGGGAGGCACAGGAAAGCAAGAGGCACCCCGCTTTTTAGCCTCAGTCCCTATTTAAGTGCTTTAATACCCACCCGTGCTGCCACACCTGTGGCACTGCTCCTCACAACACACCAGACATTGCATCAGGTAGCTGAGCTAGACCAGAAACTGTCAGAAAAAACTGTTCTGTCATTTTTCAACCTCACAGATTCCCCAGCTCAGCTCACGGCCGGATTCTGCAGACCAGCAGACAGAAGGGACGCACGTAGCAGGAATGAGGAGGGAATTATTTAACATCATCGCTGCTGAAACCAACACTCAAATTACAGCTTAAAAGCAAATGACTACTGCCTTCAACTCTGCAACCTGTGCAGCACCAAGGAATTAGCAAACAGAAAGCTGATTTGGCAGCCCCATGTCTTCAACCCCCCAACTCAAACTCCCTGCTACTTCTGTTTTTCTCAGATTCTGCCTTTGCTCAGTGATGCTAAGTCTCACTGCTGCAAGGAGCACAGTGCAGATTCCTCTCTAGGAGTAACACAGTTCTGCCAGCAGCAACAAACCACCCAGGCGAGCACCACATCGGAGCAGTTAAATCCAGCATCTGTGTGAGCATCACAGGCACTGACACAACACAGCCAGCAAGCGAAAAGAAAACTACTAGTTAGTTTGCAAGCTGCTTTGGAAAGAGATGAGCAGTAAGACCAGAGAGAGGCTGAAAAACCAGCAGCATCACCACCCTTAAACCAATGGGTTCAAACAAACCCAGCTGCTGACAATACAGAGCATTAAGCAGCAGAACAGAGTGAGTGCAGGACTCCCACCTGCAGCCACCTGACCTCCCCCAGCAGCCAGGACTCCAGGCTGAGAAATGCCACAGCCACCTGCATGTTTCCCCACACACCTGAAGCAATCAGCCACCAAGGCACAGAGCAGGGCTGGGATTTGATTGAAACACTCAAGCAGCAGACAAAAACCAATGAGAGGTGCAGCAGGTTCCATCCTCTTTGCACACCACAGCTTCCTCAAAACTGATAAGCTCATTAAGGGCCTCACAGAAACGGATAAAGCTGAAGCAAAAGCCATGCCTACTTTCGCCCACACAACATTTCCCTGCATCTCCAGAAATTACCAAGACCCTCCTAAAGTGAAGCACTGCCTTCCTTCACCCCCAGCACTGATATTATTAGAGCTGTGTCTGGCGCTGTCTCCTGGAACAAGCTCCCCTTCCTTTTAACATCAGCTCTAGAAAGCAGATCTCACTGATGCTTTTGTGCCTGGACTTTGGTAAAGCAACCAACCCAGAAAACAGCCACGGAAGCACTGCTAACCACGAGACTGGAAGATCACCCAACACTCTGGGAAACGTAACGCAGCGCACAGACCAATTCATCATTTATGTTTTAGACTGCAAACCTCTGCTGGAGGCCGAGCAGCAAAGCCATGAAGCTCGATGTGCATGGCAGCCTGGTCTGCAGGCAGCCTGACCCACACAGCGAGCATCTGAGGGATGGTGACCTCGAACCAGAGCTGGGCTCACACCTCACAGCACTATTAACAGCAAATAATTAAATTATTGTCTAATATTCCAAATACAAAGGTTGCTACGTATTCGGGCTGAGGACCCATTTAATTGTGAGCACAGTTCTAACAGCCTTTCCCACCACACTCCCTGATGGGGCCGGACTGCCTTCACCCGGCAGAGGGGCTCAGCTTGGCACAACGGGTGCTTTCTCAGCACAGCGAACCCAAAGAGAAAAGCACTGCTTCTACCAGGACCAGGAACCCCTCCCCCCTAAGAGCCCACACAGCTACAAGAGGCTGTCAGATGCTTCTCCAGCCGCAGTGTCCAAGAAGTGCTCCCAGGAGGAGGATTTCCCTGCAGGAACACCACACCACTCTGCTGGGCCCACTCCCACTGATCCCATGCTGATACGTGGCCTGTAAGTCATGGAGCAGAAGTAGTTTGTCCAGGTTTTTTCAAGGGGAAAAGGCTGAATAAATGGAGACATCTCAGTAGCTTCCAAGATGACGTAATTTTTTTTTAGATAGCTTATTTCTTACAGGTCTCCTTTGAAATCGAGGTTACTCATACAAATAGTGAACTAGGTGTGTGAAAATAAGTTATAAATACATTCTGCAGCAAGTACTAGAAATGGTCTCAAGTGCTAAATGTGTGTACAATATAAGCAACGCTTTGGAGTGAGCAGGGCTTCAGGCAGATGTTAAAACAGATCAACAATCAGAATAGAAAACAGCTTCTGAAAGCACATGGTTCCAACAACCTGAGGAAAAGCCACCTTGTTAAACTCACCACAGGAAGGGACTTTCTCTGACAGGACCTCAGACTTATCCAGGATTTGCTCATACCACAAAGACCTCCACAGGCCTGCTGGACTGAATATCCACACAGGTGAAGCAGGTTGTGTTGGGGAAGATATCACAAAGCTGAAGTTAACAGCATCCCAGAGCAAAGCATGATGACAAGCACACCCCCTCCTCAGCCACACCAAACGGATCCCTCTGCTGCACGCTGGGTGAATTTGGTGCAGTTTTCAGCCCCCTCCTCTCCAGAAACACACACGTACCCACATCAACAATTACATCAAAAAGTCCAAAAGAAATTCAGGCCTCAAAGCTTCTTCCCTAGTAAACAAGTAAGTCAATCACAATAATGAATGCTCTAAGTTTGAATGCAACCACTTCTTTCAAGAAAAGACTCCAGAAGCCAGAAGAAAGCAGCCACAACTTTCCCTGAGCACCAAGAAGTGCTGCAGCTCAGAGTTGCATGACTGCTTCCTGTGGGAAGACAACAGAGCAGCTTCTTGTACTTCCACAATGGACATCAGGTCAGTTTTAAGTCACTATTTGCTTTTAAGTGTGTTCAAAACTAAAATTTTTCTTCTCTTCACAAAAACAGCACAACAGATAGTTCTATCTGCCCATCTGTTGTTCACCACATGTTGGAAAAAAAGTCCAGGTCTGTATGATGAACCTCAACTCCACCACTGCTGCTCTCATTCGAAGAAGAGGTTAAAATGGAAGACAGCCCCCTGCCTACAGGCATTTCTGAACAATGGGCTGATTTTTCCGCTGCTAATTATTGCCCTGGATAAGTATCAAGTATGTAGAATTATAATTTAACATACATTGCTACTAAGCTTATGGGGCTCTGACCTCCTGGAGGCCCAGCAGAGCATTGCCTGATGCTCAGGCCTCCCCAGCAGAGCTGCTGCCCCATCCCAGCACCACAGCACTGCCACAGCACAACCTGACACTGCATATGGACAAAGCACATTCATCATAAAACATAATTCTTAGCTCCCCTCAACTCTACACAGCTACAATGTTTTAGAAAGTAACCCCAGAAGTAGGGCAACCAGCGTCTGCAGGTCTGAAGTTACAAGAAACCACAGCTCTATTAGAATTGCATTTAACTGGGCTGATGCTCAGTGCAAGGTAAAATGAAAAATCTGTGGCCACAAGAAGAAGGCCCAGAGCAAACAGAACTCAGGAAGCAATGTTTCAGTGCCAACCAAGTGAAAGGACTGCAAACTCCAACAATGGTGAGATTTGAAAGCCCACCATCACCATTATCATTCATTACTGTTGCTCAAGCTGGTAATAGGAATACTGCAGCTCATGACAAACGTGCATCAAAGCAGGTTGTTACACGGTGGTTTTTCTTTCAGTTTTCACATCACTTGCACGGCACTACAGGATGCTTCCAAATGGCAATAACTTCATCAGCTACTCTGAGAACACCAACACCGGTCAGCTATGGGAGAGATTTGTTCAGAGAAGCAGGCACAGCTCCGATGGAACCCAGAGCCCACCTGGCTCCTGGTGCAGCACAGCACGCTGCAGCCTGACTCACCCAGCTGCCCCACGACAGACTGCAGACGGCTGGGAGCAGCGCAGCTCTGCGTGCTGCTGTGGCAGAGGTTGATCTAAGGTTGAAGAAATCTGGCAGACTGCACAGCCCGCAGCCCTCTCACCACGATAAACACTGATGTGAAGAGCTGCTTTAATATGCCGAAAAACCTTAAAAGGAGTAAATAACACTTTGGATAACCGCAACTTACACACGAAGACCACTTACTGGTAAAATCTACGCCGACTCCCGTGCTTACTCTACATCCCAGAAGGAGCAGATAAGCTCATTAGCGCTCTGCAGGGAAGGATAAAAGCGAAGACCGAGGCCGCCCGCTGCCGAAGCCTCTCCAGCGCCCCGGATCCACCTTCGAAGCCCTCCGGGCGCCCCCAGAACGCGGGGGCGGCCCCGGGCCCGACGTCCGCGGCGGGAGGCGGCGGAGGGGCCGCGGAACAGGTGGGCGCCCCGCGAGGCTCCACAGCCCGGCCCAGAGCCCCCTGCAGGCCGCACCCGAGCCGCGGCCTGGCGTGGGGAGGCCGCCGGGCCGCGCGCCGCATGGCCGGGCAGAGCCGGACGGCGCCGGGAGACGGCGCGGGGTGAGGGGGGGGAGGGGGAACGCGGCCCGAGGGGAGCCGGGGAGAAACCGCCGAGCCCCACGGACGGAGCGGAGCCGCCGGGAGCCGGACCGGGGGCGAGCGCGGAGCCGGGAGCTGCCCGCTACCGCCCGCAGCGGAGGCTTCCGGTGCCCGGGGAGGAGCGCGTCGAGCCGCGGTCCCGAAGGGAGGGGAGGCGGCGGCTCCCGGCGTTCCCTCAGCGGGCGGCGGCGGGGCCGGAGAGCGACCGGAGCTCGGCGTCCCCGCGCCGCCGGTCGGGGAGCCCCGGGCCCGGCGGGCCGTACTCACGTTGCTCTGCGGGTCGATGGCCTGCAGCAGCCGGTCCCTGATCTGCTGCGGGGAGGGGGCCGGAGCCGCTGTCATTGCCTGGGCGAAGCGGGGCGGCCGCGGCCGGGGCGGGCGGGCGGCGGGGCCGGGCCGGGCCGGGGCGGCGGCTCCTCACTCGCCGGCGGCGGCGGCCTCCTCGGGGAGCCGGAGTCGCATGTTCGCTCCCCGCGGAGCGGGGGCGGCGGCGCTCGGAGCGGGGCGCGGAGGAACCGCGGCGGCGCGACCGGGCCGGGCCCGACTGCTCCGCTCGGGGCCGAACTCAACTGTGGGCAGGAGCCAGCCCCGCGCAGGGCACCATGGGACACGCCCGACGCCGTTACGCACGGCGCGCCCCTGACGTCCCTCCGCACGCACGCACCGGCGGGCGCGGACGGCGCGTGCGCGGCGGGCGCCGTGACGGGAGGGAGGGGGGCGGGGAGGCCGCGCGTGCGCAGATGGCGGCCCGGAGCGCCGCCGTGCCGCGGTTCCGCATCCGGCCGCGGTCGAAGCGGCCCGGTGCCCCCGGGAGCAGCGCGAGGCGGCACCGAGCGAGAACGCGGCCTCGCGGAGGGAACCTCCGGCGGCAGCGGGGCGTCCGAGCGGTGCGAGGGCCGGGACGGGGCAGCGGAAGAGGTGCGGAAGGGAACGCGGCTCCGTCCGCATCTTCGTCGGGCGCAGAAACCCCCCGCCGCTTCACGCGGCCGCGCCTCGGCGGTTCCGCACCGCGCTGCCCCGCGCGGTTTTGAGGCATCGCTTTCGGCTCGCGGGGCGTGAAAAGCCGGCCGTGCCCTGAAAGGAGCTGCGGAGCTGCCGGGCCGGCCGGTGCTCAGCGCGGCTCCGGCTCCGCCCGCCCCGCCCCCACGCTCGGACCGAGAGCCGCAACGCGGAGCTGCGGACGGGGCCGCCCCGCTGGGCAGCGCTGCTGATAGAAATACATGGACGTTAACGTGGAAAGCACAGAAATCACAAGCAAGATGTGAATTAAGGTTAAACTTAAAGGGCCCTAAGTATTTCCGTGCAGCACAAACCCATCTGAAGGACTCTCTTATCCGGGTATTCTTCTGTGTTCCTTACTAGGGAAGGTCACCGGCCCCAAACACTGATTTAACATTAAAGAAAAGCACAAAAAGCTGGGTTTACAAGTTACTCAAAGTTACAACCTAGTTAAAATCTCTCAAAAAACCACCAACATTGAATTAATTTCTCCTTACCGGAATGAACACAACATTAAATTTACTTTTACCCTTAAATAGAATTTTTTTATTCAACCAAATCCAAAATGATTCCAAAACTTCCTCAGGATTACAGATATTTTTCTGTTCAAAGTCCCTTACGTATTGCTTAGGAAAAAAAACCTTATATTGAAATTTGTATCTAAAAATGAATTTGTTGGGGGAAAAAAGTGAGAATCCTTTTTTGAGACGCCCATATCTACTTCTCCAAAGAAAAATGGAGTCGTGAGGGAAAAATGACTTCTTTTTTCCAAGTTACATCAATACTTTACTCAGCTTCACAATAATGAAGTGACTTCCACGCGACGCACAGCGCGGTGACGGCAGGAGATGGAGCGAGGACGGCGCAGAGCTGCACGGCTGTGGCTTTCAGTCAGCTGCAATCCGCTGCACATCAGGCACCCGATGCTGAGCAACACAATTTCAAGTTGGCTTTTTTTTTTTTCTTCTCCTCCCAGTGAAGTTGAAATTATTTTACTTTGAAGCCTTTGGCTCGGGGGCTGGGAGGCTCCCTGCCCTGCAGCACGCAGCCCTGCACACCCCCAGCATTACGCAGCCGGGGGGGGGGCTGTGTGCTGTGCTGCCCCATGGAGCTCGGGCTGAAGAACCTGCCACAATCCCAGGGCTGTATGTGGAAAGCATTATCATCTTTTACTTGATAGAAAAGTTATGTTTGCAGCCAAAAGTCTCTTCCAGGTTACCAGACGTTTTTGTGGATGACTTTCAAGATCCAAATAACCTGGTGGATGCAACAGAAAAAGAGCAGATGAGAGACCTACAGCCACACCAGCACTGCAGCTCAGAACGCCGCCGCATTGCTGCGACTGGTTTTGCTCTGCCATACATTGGACCAAAGGGCTACAGCAGCAAAAAGAAAACAGGAATTTTGCCAGTCTGCCTATCTGAACTACAGTCCAGAGTTTCCAGAGCTTGTTCTCATGGCTCGTTTTATTACAGGGCATTATTTCCCTCCTCTCCCCAAATGAAAATCATCCTAAAGTTTACACCGCGTTGTGTTTACAGGCGCTGAATTAAATGATATCATATCCAAGCCTAAAACAATTGTACACTGTCAGAGGTTCTCATGCACTAAACGTGCCTGCATTGGCAAAAAATGAGGTGAGCCACTATATTTTGGAAGATCAAAGCAGATGAGCAAAATGAGAGCCTAATGATGGAACAGGAGTGTGAGAAGTTGGGAGAGGGATCAGAAAAGAAATACACTTACAAGAAAAAACCAACATTATGTGGCTTCAGACGAACAAATGCCAGGTGCTGCACGGCTCTACTTACACAATCATGCAGAACATCATGAAGACATTCCACAAGGCAATGAAGATTCGGAAATACCTAAGACTCAGCAAGAACTCCCTGATATTGTCACCTAAAAGCGAAGAGGAGAAATCTTACATGTGAAAAATACCCAACGCAGCAGCGAGTCGCGTTTCAGCACTACCTGAGACACGTAAGGAGCGCAGACGTACAAAAAGAGCCAGAGAACAAAACAGCGTTCATTTAAGTTCCAGGCAGCGCCCGAACGGCCGCACGGAGGGCACTTCAGAGCCGCCCGGCGCCGCCCCGAGGCCTCGCAGCCGCCGCTCCTCCCCGCTCCCCCCCCCGCGGGCCGTTACCGGTCGTGGGTTCCCTCGCCCCCTCGCCGAAGCCCTCCGTGTCTCTCCTCCTCCTGCGGGAACAGAAGCGCCGTTACCGCGCGCAGCGCCGGGCCCGGGGCTCCCACGCCGCCCTCCCCGCCCCGATCCCCGCTCACAGTCTGAAGTTCAGCACAGCGCCGGCGTTGACCAGCAGCGTTCTGAGGAGAGACAGACAGAGCGCGTCAGACGCGGCCGGGCCCCAGCAGCCCCCCCCCGCCCCGGGCCCGGCCCGCTACCCGCAGAGCAGCAGATCGCCCAGCATGGCGGCGGTCCCGGCGCCGGAAGCGGAAGGGGCGGGCGCTCTGCCCGCGGTCGCGGCGCATGCGCGGTCCCGACGCGCACCTCCCACCGCCGGCTCCGAAACGCCCGCGCCGAGCCCAGGGCGGCCGCTGCTCCGCGTTTCGACGGCGGCCGCACGGCGCGGCGGGGAACCGCGCGGGTGGGGGAGCGCTGCGCCTCGCGGGGCCGCCGCCCGGAGCTCGGGGCCGCCCGCTAGGAGCGAGGCCGCGCCCCGGGACAGCCCTCGGGGCGGGGCGGCCGGGCGGAGGCGGGGAGCGCGGAGCCCGGCGGGGAGCGCGGAGCGCGGCGCGTTTCTACGGCGCCATGGAGCTGCCCGGGGCGCTGCAGCTGGGCGAGCTGGCGGCCGCCTTCGCCTCGGTGCCCGTCTTCCCGCTCTTCGACGCGGCTTACTTCATCGTGTCCGTCCTCTACCTCAAGTACGAGCCAGGTCAGTGCGGGAGCAGCGCTGCGGGGCGGGGGGATCCGCCGGAGCTGACACAGCCGCGCCTTCCGCCCGTGTTGGGCTCTGGCCGCCCGGTGCCGAGCTCCGTCGGCGCGGCTCTACCCGCGCTCTGCGTTCCGTTTCTCTCTGTTGTCGCCTGTTCTGTTCCTGTGGCCGCGCTCCCCTGTTTCTGTTCGGAGAGGCCGCAGCTGAACGCTCCTCTTTGTTCCCCGCCCGTCCCCGCTCGGTCCCGCTCTCGCTGCTCGCAGCTCTCCGTGCCGCGCGGCTCAGGACGGAGCTCATCCCGGCTGCTGCCCCCGCAGAACGCCGCCTTCCCCGCTGCGTTTACACGGCGTGTGCGCTCTCCGCGCTCTGTCGATCGGTTTCGGCGTCGCTGCCCGCCGGACGAGGCAAAACCACCCGCTTTGCCGTGCTTTGGAGTCCCCCCGTTGTCAGATTTCTGCGCTGTGCAAGCAGCGGCATGCTGTTCTATTTCAGCTCCCTGTAAACAGGAGTGCCGGGTTTTCGAGGCCTGATCCCTCACAGCTGTCTTCCAGCATTAAGTTCTGAGCCGTGCAGTAACAGCCAACCCCAGTGAAGGTATTTTCTCTTCCAAACATGTCAGCCCGTAATCCCCTCGGGCTGCCTAAAGCTGCAGTGAGCTTCTCGCCTGGCTCCCATACGGCAAATGAGGGTCAGGGTGGTAACGTCCCCTTTCCTCCTTGGAAGACAGATAACCATGGGGTTCCTATAGATGAGCTTCACATCGCGGCTGTTGCAGCTGTCTCGCTTCCACTGTCCCTTCAGCCGGTTCAGATGTCAGTGGGGATAGAATGGTATCAGCAGTCCCACTTTTAGATCACTTACTGCTGCTCGAGGCGGATGACTGTCAGTAATGTGGATGTAACATTTCAGCATTATTTATCTCCCCATTACTGGTGTAGCAGAGTTTGGTATCTGATGTGTTGCACAAAAGACTCTGGTATCAGTTTAAGGTGATGAGACAATCTTAAAGAACTGATGTTCTCGTGAAACTTCCTCCGAGAAGCACAGCAGGGGGTGAAAATGGGAGAGGAATCAAACAGCAAGGAAAATCCCCAGGCAACGGGAGGCTGTGGAAGAAAGCACAGTGTATTCCCCAGCAGTAACGCCATTTAAATACCTAGTTGTATTTTCTGATCTTGGAGGGATTTGCAAACCATCACGGTAGCAGTGAAGAATCCTCAAATCCTCTTCATTCATTTAAAGATTAAGAATTGCTGTTCTATTTTACAGTTATTTTACGAATGAAAGAGCTGAACAGATTGCTCATGAATTCTAGAGGGCACCTAGGTTGAAGCAATGGAGAGAATGGTACTAGTATGCATTTTGTTTTAAGACTGGAAAAAAAAAAAAAAGCGTTGACTGAGGGCAAAATTGTTCTGATTGCAGTACGAGCAGCAAATGCAGGAGCTAAACTTCTAATGGCTCCATTCATATGAAACCTTGTGGGGGCCTGCAGGCTGTGAGCACAGACTGTGTCTCAACTATATCTGATACTTGTTTAGGCTTTGAGTGTGCATTATGGCATTTTATTTTACAAGCTCTTTTCTTTGACTCATTTCCTGTTGGAGCACATTGAAAGCAAGTGTCTTTCTTAGCTCTTTGGTGAATGCACCTTCTCACTTAGAATTTACTCACAGGAGCTGTGGAGATGTCTCGCAAGAGTCCTTTTGCCTCTTGGCTTTGTGCCATGCTCCACTGCTTTGGAAGTTACATCCTCGCTGATCTGCTGCTCGGAGAGTCACCTATTCATTACTTCAGTAACAACTCCAGTGTCATCCTGGCCACAGCAGTCTGGTGAGTTCCCCTCAGCTACTGAGCACTCGATACTGCTGGTTGTGTGCAGGACCTCTCTGCATGAAGGGAGGTATTCCATCTGTGGGACACACATACATGTACTGTCTTGTTTGGATTTGTGGGGGAAAGCCAAGGTGCAATGAAGCAGTCTGAGTCTTTTGTATTTCTAGATCTAGTTTGCACTTTCTCTGACCAGCTGTCTGATGTGTTGGTAATAGGAGTGGGAACCAACCCCGCTGCAGGACGATTCTATTCATAGCTGCCACAGCTGAACTGTGGCCAAACCGCAAAATCAGCGTGTGCTGCACTGACAGCACACAGCAGAAGGGTGGCACACACTGAAGATTTGGGGACATTTTAGGTGCTTTTAGGTGACAGAAGCAGCATTTCCTTTTCTCTGACATAACTTAGGCTAACTACACAGTACTCTTTATCTTCTCTATTAATCCCAGGTCAAGATAAACAAGTGGGTCTTTAAGCTCCTTGTGGTTTTGTTCCAGGTATTTGATATTCTTCTGCCCCATGAACCTCTTCTACAAGTGTGTTAGCTTTCTGCCTGTGAAGCTCATCTTTGTGGCTATGAAGGAGGTGGTCAGAGTTCGCAAAATTGCAGCTGGGGTCCACCATGCTCATCACCAGTACCACCACGGCTGGTTCATTATGATGGCTACTGGATGGGTCAAAGGTGACACCTGGGATACTCCAATGCACCCACTGCTGTGGGGAGGGAGGGGAGAATCTGCAAGTGAAGCCTAAGGTCACCACATCACTCAGTGCTGACCAGGCTAGATAGTGGATGTGTTCAGCTGGCCCCAATTAATCACATTCCTTAGAACACAGATTTATTCATACTCACAGAATGGTTGTCAACTGAGTCATCGGAGACATGAAGAACTGGGAGTCACTTATGGGTGCAGAGTTCAGCAATTCTTTATCATCTTCCATGTTCTACTGTCTCTGTCCTTGCGTGTGTCTTTTTAGGAAGTTCTTTCAGTTTTGAAACAGTCCAGTCAGTTTCCCCTTAGTTTTGTAATTGCAGTAAGCATTTGTGCATCAGTAGATGGAACAGAGGCAAATGCCTTTTTCCAGCATCAGGAAACACTATGGAACTCTAGAAAGCAACTGCATGCTCTGTTGTTTTAGGATAACTTTATTTTAATTTTGGGATGGATGTCACAAACCTTCCCATTATATTGTGCTTATCCTGTGGGGATGTAGAGGAGTCAGCAGAGCTCTCTTCTGGTGTGGCAGTTCTAGCTGTTTGCCTTTATTGTTCCACAGGTTCTGGTGTTGCCTTGATGTCTAACTTTGAGCAACTGCTGCGTGGGGTCTGGAGGCCAGAAACAAATGAAATTCTTCACATGTCTTTGTAAGTAACCAGCCTGTATGTTCTATGTCAGACTGAAAATGAAATTTAAAGAACCATTCAGGACTGGACACAAAGTATACAAACCTTCTAGATAAGTTCTTTATTTCTCTTCTAGCCCTACAAAAGCCAGTCTGTATGGCACAGTTCTTTTCACTTTGCAACAAACTCATTGGCTCCCTGTCTCTGAAGCCAACCTCATCTTCTTTTTCACCATGTTTATGATAGTTTGCAAGGTAAGTTTACAGCAGATCTGCTGCTAACAAATCTACGGAACCAGAGAAAGGGTACAGAATTAAGAGGGGGCTGTTCACCAGTTTAAACTGAAACACTGACTTTGGAATGCTGCTTTCTTTCTTGTTCAGTGGGCCCTGGTGATAGGGGCCTTCCTAACTTTCCTTGTAGATTTGCCCATGCAGAATTCTTGCATGATTAACTTCACAATGAAATGAAAACCTGAAAGGTTATTTTCAGGAAAGCTAGTGCTGAGAATGAAGTACTCTGCAGAGCATTAATGAGATACTAGGACTAATTCTTGCATCTAGATTTGATAACCTTACGAATCCACTTTGGAAGGCACTGGCTGTACATACCAGGAAAGATCTGCTCAGGCAATTACAGGCTAAATTCTCCATGTTATTTTCAGCGTGGTAGAAGATCCTTGTGATACAGCCTTGGATTACATAGCAACAGGGACACTTACCTGTGCAAGTAGGATGTCCTTTACTAGTTAGTCCTTCATAGCTGGTGTATGTGGTCTTTAACTTTGTCCACTGTTGCATGGCAGGTTTTCATGACGGCAACTCATTCTCACGCCTCACCTTTTGCTCCAGTGGAAGGCTTCATCTGCCCAGTTTTCTTTGGCTCTGTTTCTAGCGGACACACTAGCCATCATAATCAGCATGGGCACTCCCACGAGGCTTCCTATCAGCCACCTCCTCCTGTGAAGTCAAAAGAGGAGCTAAATGAAGGCACAAGGAAACGAAAAGCAAAAAAAGCTGAATAAAAGAGCAACCAAACAGTAAACAGGCCAAGACAGTTCCTCCAGAGCTGTGTCTCAAAGCCACCTGCGGCCTCCTTTATTTTCCAGTCCTCCCACGGGCTTCAGAGGAGAGGTGGAAGTGAAGACACTGCCAGGCAATTCCCTGAATTTCAGTTGTGCTCTCTGTGCTACTCCTTGCTTCTTGGTCTCTATCTCTCTGTTCTGATCATATTTTCAGGGATTTATAGATTTGTGCCAGGATGATAAATGGGTGCCAGTTCCCAACTGTCAGCAATTATGATGCATCATCTTTCACTGAGTTTATTTATGAATGGAAGTAATGGTTTGTGCTCCCACAACTGTTCCTGTGAGTTTTCATTGACCTTTTTGATATCTACCAGAACAACAAACTGTTTAGACACAATCAATGTGGAAATTGGATTTCATGCTCGAGGAAATTAAATGGTCTGTTATAATCCTGATCTATTTTTTCCAGCTGCTGCATCTGCCATGTCTCCAAATAACATGACATTCTATATGCAATAAGGACATCAGCTCTGGTGTCCTGGCCAAATTCTACTCTGAAATTACATTTTTCTCATCCAAGTTCCCTCTGATTCTTAATGAATGGTCACTTTCTTAACTAAGACTTTGTTTGCAAGACCTTTGAAGCTGTAAAATGCTCTTGAATGCTATCTATTGGTACTGTTATTATTTTAAACTGTTTTGTAGTGTTGCTGCTCTGTTAGCAATTGTGTATTTCACCTCAAACCTGATTGTCTTTACTTGGGAAAGAAGCATGGTTTTGGTTTGTTTGTAATCCTGTGGGATATAAGAAGGGTATGTGAGTGTAAATAAGTATTTATTATTATTTATTTATAACTGTCAGGGCACCTAATTAATGGACCTGAAACTGCTTTTTAAATCTTTGCATCTTTATATCAGGAGAATTGGATACTAATAAGTATGGTCCTAAGCTGTGCTTGAAGCAGTGATTTTGGTGTGCTGGTGGGCAGCCCGAACACTTCCTGCGCGCAGGAGGAAACATTTCTTATATTCTTAAAGTAAATTAGAAAGGCTGAAGAAATAGATTTCACACCAGCTGATTAAAAGTACTTTAATGGACTAATAAGAGAACGCCAGCTTGAGAAACAGAGTTTCCTTTGTAGGTCCCTTTTTGCCAAACTACTGATCTGTGCCCAATGAGGGAGGGAGAATGTGAAATGCCTTGCATGGCTCAGGAAGCAGTCAATCAGCTTGTTCATGTTCTGCTTAATGAATACTGGCTTTTAGATTAGTTTGAAGCTGTTCCTGTAACTGATTTTGTTCTTAAAAGTGTCATCTTAAGCATTGTGCCCTGGAAACCTTAACTCATCTGAGGTGTTTTTTTATCACTAATGGCCAGGATCATTGCAGTGCTAGAAGTATGCTTGAGGGTGTAGTACTGGGCTTTCAGCTAAGCAGTGTGTCACCATCCCTAGCAATAAGGCTTGCTGCTGTCAAGCCTTTGCTACTTGCAATGGGGAATAGAAATGGAAGGATTTAAGAACAGTCATTGCTTGGTTGTTGTTGGTTTTGGTTGTTTTTTTTTTTGGTGTGTGTCCCCTATTCCAGAATTGAAACTCTGATATTAATTTTGGAAAAAAGAATTATTGTATACAACCAGATAAAAGCCAGTAAAAGAGGTCAAATGATTTGTGGGTTTGGGTTCTGAAAGTGCCTTAACTTTGTGAGTTTCCCTCCAGCAGAAAACAGCTTCTACCTGACAACAGTCTGGTTTTGCAAATACTGGTCTACAAAAACCTGGTGTATCACTGACATGCATATAAAGAATGGTTTATGAGATGTCTGATTCAAGGGGAAATTTGTTATATAAAAGCCCTTAACAAAATAAAAATTGTGAAGTGACTCTGATTGTCCAATGGCATTTGAGGAACTGATGTGTGTTTCTTTTACTCTCGCCGGTCTGAGAAGTCACACCTTCCTTGATCTTGTTGAAGTCTCCTTGACCCAGGACAAAGTGATTCTGGTTGGACTTTGACATGTCACAGAATCACAGAATTGTAGGGGTTGGAAGGGACCTCCAGAGATCGAGTCCAACCCCCTGCCAAAGCAGGATCCCTACACCAGGTCGCACAGGTAGGCGTCCAGGCAGGTCTTGAATATCTCCAGAGAAGGAGACTCCACAACCTCCCTGGGCAGCCTGTTCCAGTGCTCCATCACCTCACCGTAAAGAAGTTCTTGTGCACATTTGTGTAGAACTTCCTGTGCTGCAGTTTCTGGCCATTTCCCCTTGTCCTGTCTCCACACGCTGCTGAAAACAGTCTGGCCTTACCAGACTGATGTCCTACAAGTATGTTTGAGCATGTTACAATTGGAAGCAGTATGGTAAAATATCGTTGCTCTCGTTGTCCAAGTAGCTTTTCTAAGACTTCAGGGAGGGATATAAAGAAACTAACTTATAAAGGCCAAAGGGGAATGTTTTGTACCTGTTGACTCTGCCTTTCCTTTTGTGACTAAAAGACGAAGGTCATTCACTTGGGACAGGTATGTAAAAATCTGCAGACAAACACAGTTCTAGCTTATTTATATAGAGTTTCAGTATTTGTATTTAAAACAATCAAAGAGAGAAACAAAAAAAAAAAACAAACCACCAAAAATGCTTTGAATGAATGGGATCTGGACATGCTTGGGAAATGGGCAGCCTGATCTGGTGAGTGGCAACCAATCCACAGCAGGGCTTGGGGCCAGGTGGGCTTTGAGATCCTTTCCAGTCCAACCATTCTGTGATCTAGCACAGTACTGCTATCAGCTGCTGCTAAGTGCCAAAGCCTTTGCTCTTCACAATACTTCTGGTTGAGTAAAATCATAGCTGCTAAGTAAGGACAGATAGGAGAAATATTCTGAGATACCTTAAAATTAAAGCTCTGCACCTTTAAGGTTCTTTATCTGGAATATGATTAGTATCAAGAAGACAACTGCCACAAAGAGAGGTCACAACTTTCATTTAGTGGAGCCTTTTACGGTGAGAGATAAGGAGCCTTTCTTGAATTTCCATGGCTCAGCACTGGTAACCTTCAGTACAATTTCAGGCAAGCCTTTTTCATTCCAGCTAGCAAAGATGTTTCTTTCAGAAGTAACTTCTTTTTAACTAATGCTGTAGGGGCACAGGGTTCAATACGGCTTCTCTGCATCTGGAAAGCTCTCGGGTGCCTGTTCATGCTGCTTCCTTAAGGCTCTCCTCCAGCTGGAAGGAGAACATTAGCTGGGCATTCCCCAGCAGGTTAGTTAACTTGCTTCCATGCCACAAAGAGCAAAGGAACTCCCTGCCTGAATGATTCAGTGAGGACCTGCAAAGGGCTATTGATTTTTGATGGGTTTCATTTATGTCTCCTCAAATCTAACTCTGAAAATGTTAATTAGTACTCCTTACCAGAACAGTTGAGAATTTAAGTTGCTTTGGAATGTGAGATTTAATACCAATAGAAAAGAGGGTCTGTGCAAGTCTTACACATATTAAGAACAACAAAAAAAGCAGCAGAATGTTTCATGTGGCTTAACCATTCTGCTCTCCATGACGTCCATTTCAGTGTATGAACAAGTTTTGCTCAGAAGCAGGACAGAATAATAAAAAGAGCAAGCAGCTGAGAGTGTGTATTTCAAGTGCTTTAAGAAATCCTGCCGCGTCTGAAGTGTGCCATGCTGTGCAGAATGTTCCCAGCTCCAAACTGCTGCAGCACAGGGTGTGAGAGGTGCATGCCAGGGCTCAGACTTCCACAGGGCAGACGTCATTGCCTTCTGATAACTCCTGATACTAACTCTAGTGAGATGTAGCTAAATTTAGCAAGAGACTTAATCCTGAGAGAGGCCCTAGTTGCCCAATGGAAAAAGCAAAGTGTTTCATTTGCTGCTCTCAGCATTTCTTGTTGACTGACAGGTTTCCCTTTTCTTTTGCAGACAGAAGCCAAACCAGCATCTACAGCTTTCAGCACTGCAGATTAGCTCTACAGACAGGGAAAGCTCTACTGCTCTTAAAGCCTTTGTAGAAAAGAAATAATAATAATAAAAAAACATAGGAAATGTGAATTATTATTCACAATAAAGGACCTGAGAGACCAAAGGACTAAACTTCGATGTAAAGAGCTTGTGTGAAAAAGGGCAAGGCCAACAGAGGGCCAAGCTAGAGGGACTTGTGTTCTTGTTCTTCTGTAAGGAAAAGCTAACAAAATGGGTTTGGATTTCAACAGAAACCAGAAGTGCAGCCCTCACTCAGTAGGCACACACAAAACTACTCCCAGCTAAGTTCAGTCCTGCCTGCGTGGTCCATGCAGACAGCAGTCTGAGGGAGCTGTGGGGGATGGCAGCTCTTGGAAGAGATAGCGAGAAAACAAGTTCCCATCCACACAGCCTGCGCTGCCACTGTGACTCACAGCTGCTACTCACCTCACCTCTGAGGCGACATTTCTGACAAAGAAGAGAAGTTTATCACTATCACTCTGATAGTGTTAAGATCAACATTCAGGAACAGCTTTGTGTCTGGCCTCTGTTTCACACATGCACAGCATTTGCATTTTTCACACATTCTCCAAGAAAGAAGTACCGCTAAGGGTTTCTTGACACTTATCTGTTTCCTTTATGTTCTGAAAGAGAATGCAGGGATTTTTAGAGAGCTTGCAACTGTAATCCTTTAGGAAGAATCAGTATGAGATAGTGATTTCATCTTACCTTTAGGATACAGGTAAGCTGTAGACGTGGAATGCAGGAAAACAGGTCTGATATGTTTAGAGGCTTAAACGTTTTCATAGCCTAAGGAAATTCAGAATGGCCCTGGAAAAGATTTGGTTGGTTGATTTTGTTTGGTTTTGATTTGCAAATTGCAGAAACTCCCTGCTCACCAGAAAGTAACACGCTGCATTCCTACAGCAAGCAAGCTGTTTCTCCTCCAATTAGCCCAGTCCTCGATTCTTCTCAGTGATGCTGGCAATCTTAACTTTCCAAAAATGACTGCTCACTGGGGACTTCTGCTCCAACTGTAACCAACTGCTTGAATCAGTGGATTTGTTGGTGACGAGGACTGCTGTCATCAATACTAATGATAGGTATATGCAGCATGAAGTACAAACTGCACATTGCAGAGTGCTGCCAGGGCTCATCCCAAGGCTCCAGTGTTGTTTTGATGCCGATAGAACAAAAGCATTATTACATATTTCTCTATCACTATCTTCCATTCTTGATTTGCCTGGATGCCACTGATCACCCTCATCCTCCAGACTGTGTCTGCTGTCACCTCTCCAGCACGGTATATTTTAAGCAACCTTAATGGAGCTGACATTTTCCTCCATTACATTGCTGGTTTTGATCACAGAGGCTTGAAGAATAGTCTAAAAATGCACTTCAGACTCCTGAAGTTGACTTAATTTAGATTGAGACTGATGATGGCTAAACCCTGATGAAGGCTCTCTGTAATGTTAGTTTCTTGCAAGAAAAGGCTTCATCTCCCTGTTTGATTTATGTTAGATTAAGATGTCGGTTAATCTCTTCTTACTTGATTAATCTTCACAGACATCTAGCCAAGCACTATGTGCAAAAGGAGCCTGCTACATAAACACACATTACTAATTTTTCTTTAATTATTACTCTGTATGCCAGAGGGATACAGAGGGGATACAGACTGGGATAGACAGCAGCCTCTTCAATCTGACTTCAAGAGAAACCGATGAACTCAGCTCCCTGGGAGGTCTATTTTCTTATCTCTGCCTGCACCATTTGACAAAGGGAAACTGTAAAAGGGAATAGCCATGATCCTGGGTGTTAAAAAACTTCCTTTAAACATCTGTGCGCCTAAACCTTATGTGAAACAAGTAGCAGTATATTCTCACCACTAAATAAAATCTCTAAAAAAATCTCTAAAATACAGAGGGAAGTATTCCTAGAACAGACAAAGGCAGCCAACAAAGGCACCACAGCTGCATACAGCACCTGGTATGGAGCACATCTGCCCTCAGAAAAGACCCTGGAGATTCTACCAGGTGACAAATAATGGAGCAAGGAGACAATATGTATTTCTCTAGAAATACCATTTTGCCCATGAGTTTACACAAAGACAGAGTAAAGGTCTATTTGCTCGGTCATGCACCAGTCCCACTTGCAATTGTTTCAACAAATGAGAATAGAGAAAGTGGGTCATTTTGTCGCCAGGACAACAAAAGCACACACTGACCTAGATATGTCTGAGGGAACCTAATCTTGCTGTTGGCACAGACTAAGGGGTTCAGGCAGTGTTAGGCGTTTCCAGTTGGGGAAGCACAGCATATTAACAATCTCAAATTGTTTCTTTTTTGTCTGCAGCATCAGGAACAGATTTCCCTCTGTGTCTCGCAGCAGGCATCACAGTGATGGCACTTAGTTCTGATTACCAGATGCTGGTGGCAAGTTCCCAGAATGGCTCAATGCTAGTCTGGAACATGGAAGTTATTGAGATGCTGCACACCCTCCCTGGGTACTCTGGTGAGCATTCTCCATTCTTCACGGTCGGAGAGCTTCTTTCATGTCTGAAAAGAGCTTCAACAGCTTGGCCATCACCTCCTAGCCATCAGCATTCTGCCAATCGCTGGAAGCACTGAGAATCCCTTGGTTTGTTAATTCTCCTCTCTTAACTTATAGCTGAGGTGAGGTGTGTGAAAGCATTTGGAAAAGGAACCTGTGCTGTCTCGGCTGCCGTGGATCACAATCTGTGCGTCTGAAATTGGATTTCTGGCAGAGTAAAGTTTGTTATCCAAGACACACATATTGAACAGCAGCCCTTCCATCACCTTCACATGGATGAGAGGCACATGACTGTATATTCTTCTGCAGACACAAAGGCACGGCCATTCTCTAAATGTGCTGAAAGAACAAGCACTTTAGGAGGGTCCAAGGTCTCTATGAGACATCACCTATGGCGTCCTAAGGAGAAACAGAGAGCACGGCTTACTGGTTCCCCTCTCACATAGCAGCAGTGGTCCGATTCAACAGAGTTCAGTTGTCTGCTGAGAAGGGAAGCAGAGGACGTGCCTTAAGGGAAGCCCAAAGCCGGGATGAGCTTTAAGCCCTTTGCTCTGCGCCTGGCCCTGCAGGCGGTGCAGTGCGTGCGCACCTCGGGGTCCCAACATCCGTGAGAGGTTCTGCCGACCCTCAGAGCCTCTCCTCAGCGCTGAGCGCAGAGCGAGGGACGGGAAGAACCGCAGCACACGGCAGTGTCACCAAGGCGACCCTTCTGGGAGCCTGGTTTGTACCAGCAAGCTGTCCCGCGCCCGCTGGCTGCTGTAAAATAAACTAAAACAGCACAAACAGCCGCTGCGGTCCCGTCCTGCCTCAGAACGGCGCGCTTCGTTCCGAACGCCCGCAGGTCCCGCACAGCGCCGCTGCCACGGGCCGCAGAACGAGTGCGTAAAAACAGCCAAAATACGTAAAAACGGCGTTTGAGCCACAGTGCCACAGCAGGCGCCGGAGCGCCGTTCGCGCCCTTCAATCGCAGCCCAACGCGAGCGGCCCCCGCGAGGGCCCGGGGCTCCCGCCCCCGACGTTTCTTCCCGCCGATCCCCGGGGCGGTCCCGCACCGCTCGCCCCCCGCAGCCCCGTCCGTCCCTCGGCCCGCTCGGGGTTCACCGCCGCCGGAGGCGCCGCTCCCGCCGGGCCGCTCGAAGGACCGGAAGCGGCGCGCGGTGCGGGCGGCGCCGCCGACGGCGGCCGCGAAGGTTCCGCTCCGGGCCGGGCCGGGCCGTGGCGCCGTGCGCGCTGACGCAGACGCTCCGCACGCGCTGACGGGGGGCGCGCGGCGGCGGCGGCTCCGACTCCCAACATGGCGGCGGGGGGCGGCGGCGGCGGCCGGGGGGGCAGCGCCCCGCGTTGGGGCGGCGGCGGCGGCCGGGCCGCGGCGCAGGAGAAGCTGCCGGTGCACGTGAGTGCGGAGCGCGGCCCGCCGGGATTCGTCCCCGTCCCCGCGGAGGGCGGCGGGGAGCGGCCCTGCCCGCCCCGCCCCGGTCCTTTGCCGAACCCGCCCCCGGGGCCGCGGGGCGCCCCTCTGCCCCCACGACCCGCGGCGCCCCCGCCTTCCTCCCCCGTTTCCCGGCCCCGTCACCGCGGCCCCCCGGCCCTCCACCCGTCCCCTCAGCGCCCCCGGTACCGCGCCGTTCCCCCGGGATCTGCCCCGTCTCCCCGGTCTCTCAGCGCGGTGCCAGCTGAGGCTCCCCGCCGCGCCCCGGGCGCTCAGCAGCATCCCGCCCGCAGGTGGAGGATGCGCTCTCCTACCTGGACCAGGTGAAGATCCGCTTCGGCAGCGACCCCGCCACCTACAACGGCTTCCTGGAGATCATGAAGGAGTTCAAAAGCCAGAGGTAAAGCCCGGCCCGGGGCCGTCCCTGCCCTGGGGGCTTCCCCAGCCTTCACCCCGTGGTTCTGCCGTCCCTGCTGGCCCAGTTGTTACACACTGGAGATGAGGGAGGAGCCGTCCATCCCACTGCTGTCTGCTTCCTCGTTTTCCAGAGCAGAAATCCACGGGAAAAGAACAATCTGTTTTTCCATCCCGCTCTGAAATGCAGATCTGGAAAAACAGATGAGGACTTTTATTGCTGAGAGCCCTCAGCCCTCGTGTGGGCAACCTGCACGTTCTTCTCTCTGGAGAACATTCCCAGTGGGAGGCTGCAGTGGGTGGTGGTCCTTCCCTCTGCCTGGGCCTGTTCCTAGCTCTGAAGTTCCCAGACTTTCTTGTTGAGAGTGATATCTGTGAGAAGCCAGATGCCTCACCTACCTCTGTAGTTTTCTGGGCTTCAGTTGTATTTCGGATGTAGGCACAAGTAACGAATTCTTCTCGATTCCAGCATTGACACACCCGGAGTCATCCGACGTGTTTCACAGCTGTTCCATGAACACCCCGACCTCATTGTAGGATTCAATGCTTTCCTCCCTCTGGGATACAGAATAGAAATTCCAAAGAATGGGAAGTTAAGTATACAGTCACCACTGACTAGTCAGGTAGGTTATAAAGCTCATAGTACTCCAAATAAATCCTGTTAATATACTGCTACGCACATCTCTTGCACAGTTTAGGCTATATACATTTTGCATGTATTGCACATTGCTGAAGTTCTGACGTAGTTTTTAAGATGTGGTAACAGCTGCAATGTAAATTTGAACGTTTATTCTCAAACCAGTTATTAGCTCAGCTTGCACTAGAGTGATGTTCCTGCATGAAGTGCCACTGCAACTCCAAATACTCCCGTCAGATTTGAAAACTGAGATTTTAATTGGTTTGGACTGTTACACAGACTCTCAATGTACGATGGGTAGTGACACATCTAAAAAAACATCCTGGGAGAATCGTATTTCCAATCTTCAGTGAGAAACTGAGAAATGTATTTTTTGTCCATTGCCTGAATGCGTATCAGGTGTTGCCATGCAATCGCTACCATCCTGCAGTGGGAGACATCTGCTGTTGGATAAATATTGGCCTCTTCCTTTTGTTGTTATTGTGTGGTTGTGGAGGCTGAAATAGAGTTATTGCTGAATTCTGCTGATAAAGTTGTGGTTTAATGCTAATTACTAGCAGTGTATATCTTTTAGATCTCTCCATTGCTTAGGAATTTGGCTTCTTGGAGCCTTAAATTTTAATATGTTTCTTAGAACTGACAGTTCCTCTGAAATAGAACAGTGGTAACAGAAACTGCAGTGCACATTACCTGGTACAACCTCTCAAGTGTGGATAATGCAGGGGCAGTCAAAAGCAGCAATGAGTCAGATTGTTTACCAAGTCAGATATGGGTTATGGGTTTGTTTGTTTTTTAACTCATGGTGTTAATAACATAGGTAAGGAAATGTATTAGCAAATTAAATCCTTTTTTTCCCCTTATTTCTTCACGCAGTAATCTCTTTTAGCTAAACAGATGTAAAATATTGATGCTAGGATGTAGTTGCACCTGTGTTTCAGCACAAGTCACTGTCTTGTATGTCTTATGCCACTAGGTGCCCTCAGAGCCTGTTCCCAGCGCTCTCCCTGGCAGCGGGCTGTTGTTGCATTACTCACAAGAGAATTCTCACAACCACAGTGACTGCACCGAGGAGTTTAGGCATCAGCTTCCATACAAAGAAGACAAATCCCAAATTCCTTTGGAGTCTGATTCTGTAGAGTTCAATAATGCCATCAGTTACGTGAATAAGATCAAAACACGCTTCCTTGACCACCCAGAAATTTACAGATCGTTTTTAGAAATTCTTCATACTTACCAGGTAAAAAGCCTTCAATATAAGATAGATTGTGAGTTTGTGGTGTGGCTGCTTGAACAGCTATCAAATGAAACGTCAGGCTTTGTCTAACAGCTGCCTCATACTTATATGAAATGACAGAAGTGTGAAAACTGTTGAACCTCCTGGGTTCTGCGATACAAAGGGGTTGTATGTGGATCTGTCTTCGCTAACTTCCAGATGTAGTGATATCCTGTGTGATAGGAACCTTGGACTGTCTGATACATATATGAAGTTTGTGTTGCTTTTTTTTTTTTTTTTTTTTTTTTTTTTTTGCTGCTGTGGGTCGTATGTTTGTATCTGTTTAACATCTGTGCATATCTTTTCAGAAAGAACAGCTTAACACTAAAGGTCGACCCTTTCGGGGCATGTCAGAGGAAGAAGTGTTTACTGAAGTAGCAAATCTGTTCAGAGGACAGGAGGATCTGCTCTCTGAGTTTGGACAGTTTCTTCCAGAGGCTAAAAGGTCTTTGGTATGTGTATGCTTAAAGCAAGGCAGGATATTTAATGCTGCCTGTTTATATGTAAAATGCGTTACGGAAAAACACACAGCCAGTAGGTGAAATTCACTTCTCTTCGCTGCTTGGAATTTCACAAAACAGGTCACTTAACTACATGCTCTCTGTTCAGATGAGCAGGATTCTTTATTTGTACAGACTGACGAGAGAGCATTGAAACAATTATTTTCTTCAGTTCACAGGAAATGGACCATGTGAAGTGAATAGTGTCCAGAAAACTGAGCACGAAAAGAATCTTGAACACAGCAAAAAGCGATCCAGACCGCTGCTGTTGCGTCCTGTTTCTGGCCCAGCAAAGGTATCTCTCTGCAAGTGACCTCATTTTGTATTACTCATTTTGTTTATGTAATTCCTTGGGTGAAGTTGTAACGAGTAGTGACTTTGAAGTGTGTGGGTTAGGTACAAGGGGAAAAAAAATCAAAATTATTTTATAAGTAATCTGCAAGGAAAGCAATTTTCAGAATTCTAAAATGTATATGGTAGCATGTTGTATAATAAGAATCAAGCCCTTAGGTGCAGAGTACTGGTCCCCAGAAGGGCAAAATTGCTTCTGCAAAGGAACCTTTCTTTGGAATTGTTCCTGAAGTGATCCTCCTTCTCCTTAGCCAGGAGTCGTTTGATAGAAATTACTGTGGAGGACTTGACATAGCAATGCTAGATTGCTGTTTGGGAAATAACAATGATCAGTCTTTGCAAAGAGCTGTTCAGTGTCAGCAAAGTGGAGTTTGATAGCATTTGAATGACATATATATATATATATATATAATTGTTCTTTTAACAGAAGAAAATGAAACTGAGAGGTACCAAAGATCTGTCAGTAGCAACAGTGGGAAAATATGGAACACTGCAGGAGTTTTCGTTCTTTGACAAGGTCAGTACTTGGCACGTTCTCACACTGTGGGCTTACTTTAAACCACCAGTGTGGTTATTATTTGGTTCATTTTTTATTTAATCTGTGCGTCAGCACTTAGCAATTGCCTGACTTCAAGTGGCAGAGGGAGGGCAGACCGAGAAGAAAGCAAATAGATGGGTTTGGAAGAATGGAAACTGATCATTAACCTTTTCCTGAATGCTTGTCTCTAACACGTATGTTTTTCTGTACTTTTCAGCAGCATTTCCTCATAGTAACTATATGTAGCTACTAAATTATTGTTTGAAACTGAGACTTTCGGAGAATGTTCTTTTTATGTTGCAATGCAAATAGAGGTTGGTCTCCTGTGGTTCAGACTGCTTAGAATATGTGCAATAATTAAAAATGGCATTCAAGTGGTTTGATAATTTCTTTCTAAACTGTCTGTAGGTGCGTAGAGTGCTCAAAAGTCAGGAAGTCTATGAAAATTTTCTCCGTTGCATTGCTCTCTTCAACCAGGAGTTGGTCTCTGGCTCTGAGCTGCTCCAGCTAGTTACGCCATTTTTAGGGTAAGTTACTGATTGCCATCTCTGCTGCATTGGCCTTTTTTAGCCTTCCTCTGTTAATTTTTGGTAGGCACTGTGAACTTTGTCACTGAAGCTTTGAATTCAACATCAGAAATACCTTCTAGGTAGCATGCCAGCGATGCAAAGCTAATCCACAAAGAGAAATAATAAAACTGGAATCTTTATCATATCTATACAGCTCTTGAGGAGCATTCTGGGGAGGAGTTTATTTAGATTTCTCACTTTTATGATGAGTATTAGCCACCCTAAAACCATCAGAATGAAATAACTTACTTGGGTCATGCTTATTTGTGTTTTTGAAGGAAATTTCCAGAGCTGTTTGCACAGTTCAAGTCCTTTCTTGGTGTGAAAGAGCTTTCATTTGCTTCTCCACTGAGTGACCGATCTGGGGATGGAATGAGTCGGGAAATAGATTATGCTTCCTGCAAACGCATTGGATCGAGTTACCGTGCTCTCCCAAAAACCTATCAGCAGCCAAAGTGCAGTGGAAGAACAGCCATTTGCAAGGAGGTACTTTGGGATCATCCACTAAATCCCTGTACAAACATTGTACTTATGTAACTTGAAATGGGGCAGATAGCAGTACAGCTTCTGCACGTGGATTCTTCTCTCTAACTCTGACTATCCCTCTTCAGTCTTGTATCAGTTATTCATCCAATTCATTGAAATAAGAGTATCCACATTCAGCTCACTAGGTTTATCTAAACACATCTCAAGTCATTTCTTTCAGTTTAATCTCTTTTGAGACACTATCTGTATAGACAGAAAAGAGCATTAATAGGGCAGAAGTTATTTCTCTAGCTCTGGGCTAACTTTTGGAAGCAGTGTTTCTCCTGAAAGGGCACTGTGAGCCAATGTCGTAGGCACTGCTGTCACTGGGAACAGACATCTACTCCCACTGTTCCCTATTGTCCCCTTTACTGCAATGATCTCTGCTTTGAGAGAAGACAGTGAATCTACTTCTGAACTCTGATGCATTTCCACTCAGACCTTTAATTATCTAGGAGTAGTCATTACAGCATTAGCTAGGCTGAAGCTTCCAATAGAAACTCAAGGAAGAACTGTGCAAGAATAAAACAGGGAAGTATCAGAGTTTTTAGAACAGCTCTGGGCTTCTAAGGCATTGTTCAGTGTCATATCT